GTTTTTCCAGCAAAAGTTTCAGATTCCCTTTGACTTGATTATTAATACCCCGAGGGTTCATGCATGATGATACAAAGATGATGTAGCCAAAACATAATTGTGTTTGAAACTTTTTAACTTAGTTCCTCACTTTTCTAATCTGTAAACCTCAAAATTATGAAAAAAATACCATGAATTTTATTTCCCTTGTTAATGTTATTTTCTCTTTAATTACAAGATTAAAATCTAATATAGAACATCTGGGATTTTCTTTTCATTGAATTTGGACTATAGTATTTATGGGGAAATTGTCTTTTATTTGTTTGGTGTAAGATACATTGAAAACAGTAGAATATTAGAGCCATAAGCGGTTCTGGTTGCATGTTAGCATTACATGCAGAGGTTTTAAAAAATATGGAGATTCTGTCCCAGTAGATCTGTGATGGGGTCCAGAAGTTTGGAATTCTAATATAACTGGTCTACCTGTAGTTTGGAAACACTGGTTGAGATTTTACTTTGTGGGATTCCAAAAACTGGTGTAAGATACTGATCAGAAAGAGCTCGGTTTTTTTCCCCTGGATCTAAGTGACCTGTTGGTTTCAACTTCAACACTTTTGGGGCTTACATTAATGACATAAAACAAATAGCATGCACTCTGGGTGCACAGAAGCACTCCTGCCTGACTATTGTTAAAAATCATTGAAGCTCCTGAAGGTTTTTTTATATACAACCATAGCGTAGATAGCTGTTGTACTGGGAGAATCATATTCAGATTTTCTTGTTATTTTTCAGCAAAAGTAGTCAATTCATTCTAGATAAAATAGACCTGGTTTTGCCAATGAGGGAAGTGTGAATTGTTTAGATTTTTCAAAAACCTTGATATTTTATTTTATTTATTTATGTTTAAACCTTGATATTTTAATAAATGTTCTAAGGGCTCTGGACAGGACACCTTTCAGGGAATGATTTTCTCAGAATAGCTGAGCTTCCAGATAAATGAGAGTTACTCAAGACAGCCACCATCTCATTCTTTCTCCTTTATGTTTTTGTGCCAGGCACATTGCTGCTCCTCAAGAAATACCGTTTAAAGAATAAGTGGATCAAGCCATAAGTCTCCTCTTATTGTTATTGTATATTATGAATATCTCTGCCTTTTAGACTATAAGCAAATGTAATTTAACTTTTTTAATGATGGCTTATGCCATCCTGCTGAGCTCTAGTGCCCTCGGGGGTCTGTTGTAGTATGCAGAATGTTTTTATTCTACACTAAATGATCCTAAAGTGCTGTGATTTTTACTTCTTTTGTTTGCCTTCTATAGTTATTTTCCCCCATTTCCATCCTTGCTGTTAAGCCATCAGCTGTCACTGGTTACTGTTATCGATGTGCCTCTTCTAGTCCTCTTTTTCTTATAATTTGCTGCTCTTATTGGGCTGTTTATTTGGAAATCATATCACCAAGCCTATTAGAATTTCCAAAGAGGAAAAGTAGACCTCGAGTAAGAACCCTAGGAAATCCTTTCTGATAAAGCTCACTAATGAAGGTGTGTTCTGGGGTGTAGAGGTGGCTGTTAGAGGTCTCTTTTGTTCGGTTCTTGGTTCTCAGCTGTTTTCCAATAAAGCAAGTGCTGAGTAAACAAAGTGACAATGTGTCTTTAAAGAGGAGTGAGGTTCCCTCTACTCAATACTCTGTAATGACCTATATGGGAAAAGAATCTAAAAATTAAAAAAAAATAAAGAGGAGTGAAGTTCCCTTCTTCTGCATTTCAACTTCTTATACTTCTTGGCAATTAGAGATGGTTGGCAAGCATTTTTGTCTCCAAGCCTCTCCTTTCAGAAAGGAATTAGCTTGAACCCAGCAAAGCAGTTCAGGGCAGTTTGAGGTTGAGACCCAGTCTTCTTAGGCTCAAGGTGGTGGAAAGGGCTGGCTCCTCTACATTCAAGCCTTTATGAAGCAGAGTGGAAGGGGAGGGAGAATTTCTAACCCTGGCAGGAAAGCAGTGTGGGTATTTCACACTCATTTATTACTCTCATTTTACAGATGAGGAAAGTAAAGCACTTGCCATAAAGTGGCCACTGGGACTCAACTTTAAACTTCTGCTAACATTAAATTCCACTGGTTGTAATTGCTTTACCTCATGGGCATCTCGGCCCTCCCCTCATATGGTGGCTTTCAAGACTGGTGAGCATGTCCACTGGAAACTTCCCCTTTCCTGGGTTTTCCAGGAAAAACTGCCTCTCCTCTTTCTCCTCCTCCCTCTCAGGCCCCTCCTTCTCAGTCTCATGGCAAACTCCCCTTCCCCTTCCTGTCATCAGAACATGGATGCATCCGAGAGCTTCATCCTTAGTTTTCTTCTTTCCTTTCTCCTTACATTTGCCCTGGTGATCACAACCTAACCATGGCCCTGCCTGATTTGATTTGCTTCTTAAAATCAATGACAATAACAACACAGAAGAAGACCCCCTGGAGCAGTTACCTAAGCACGTGGAGTCCCTGAGAGACCAGCAGGTGGCTTCCTCAGGCCCCTTTCCCATCCACCTGCTTCCATCCTCTGTGTTCGTTGGCTACCATGGTTACTCTGTCTCCTTTGGCTCTAGTCTTTGGCTCCCACTTTCTGTCTGGCCCTTCAGATGTGGCCTGTTTACCAGGCTTGACCCTTGTCTTTCCTTTGGTGTTAGGTCCTTATATCCAACAGAATTCTAGACCTGGCCACCTGAATGCCCTATAGCAAGTTATAGCAAACTCAACATGTCCAAAATAAAACTGGTTATCCACCACCTCAGCCAGTAACTTCTGAGTCATTCATTCTTTCACTCACATCAGCTCAAACTCTACTTCCTGTCAATGCTTTCTTCTGAATATACTACTTATTTGTCTCCTGCTATGTATATCTGTATTTTTTATATTGCTGCGTGAAAAACTGCCACAAATTTAGAGGCTTGAGACAACACACACTTATTACCTCACAGTTTATATGGGTCAGGATTTCAGCTTGCTGCCTCTTACCTAAAGGAGCCTAGAGGCTCCTGCAGATCCTCGCCCTGTGATCCTCTCGTAGGCCTTCTCATAACAGAGCAGCTTGTTTCTTCAAGGCCAGCAGGAGGGTATCCCTGATGGTTCCAGCCTCTGACCTCTACATACGTTTTTTAAGGGCTCACCTGATTAGGTTGGGTCCATCTAGGATAATTTCCCCTTTGAGTAACTCACAGTTGACTGACTAGGAACTTCAATCACCTCTGCAAAATTCCTTCACCTTTGGTGTATCACAGAATGAAACCCATCATATTTTTAGTCCTCCCTCACACTCAAGGGAAGTGGGTTTCACAGGGAATGTGCACCTGTGGGTGGGAATTTTGGGGCCATCTCAGCATTCCGTCTGCCACAATATCTCATGACCTCCTGCCTGCCACAATATCTCATGACCTCCTGCCTGAAAACTGTAGCCCCTTCCATATAGATCTTCCTGCCTCTTCCTATTCTAGTCTATCTAGCCTCAAATCCACCCTCTCCACTATTAGCACAGTGATCTTTCCAATGGGTAAATATGATCAAATAATTATCCAGCTCAACTCTTCAAATGTTTGCTAAACAAACAAACAAACCCCCAAATCCACAAAAAACTAAAATAGGATAAAACAGATTCTTTCAGGTAGCATGTAAGACTCTTTATGATCAAACCCTTACTAGTTTCCAGGCTCATCTCTTACTTCTTTCCTCCCAACATCAAATATTGTGCTTCAGCAAGCAAGCACACAAGCAAGCATGTATTTCCCTGAACACAGAGTACTTTTTTCATTCCTCTAAGTCTTTGAATTGGCTGTTCCTCTACTTTCCTGAGATTCCATCCTCCAACGTGCACAATGATGGTCTGACTCATGAAGTGCAATGCATTTCTCAAATCTTATCTCCTTAGTGACGTTTTTCAGACTCAACTGCTTTTCCTGCACCCCACTGTACTTCCTCCACAACTGCACTGGTGCTGTCCTCACTGGAGCCCAAGAAGGAGTCATACTTGTCAAGATGTGTCTGTGATCTGGTGGGAGAGACCCCATAGAAATGTGTTGCCATTGAGCCTAAGGAACCTCCTGGGAAAAGAAGCCAAGCTCTGTCCTTTTCCAAGATTCAGGCAGGTTTGGTGATGTCTGCACAGCCAGTAGGGTGGCCTGGCTCAAGATCTTTCCAAGGAGCCTCTTGGAGGCTTGGATTTGTCTCCTGGCCAAACGCACATTGGCCTCATTCCGATGAGTCTGAATCCTACGGGTCTGCAGGTGCCACTTCACTAAATTCTGTAAAATTTCTTTAGGGTCTACAACAAGGTGAAACACAAACAGGAGAGGGTTATATCCTCTTAATCTGCCACAGGCTGGTCTTGACTAAGGAGATTTTGGGCAAGGGGAGATGGGCGAGGGTCATAGAGGTGTGCAGGAGCAGTGTGCACTGCCTTGGTCACAGAAGCAGCTCTGGTAGAGTGGCAGGGGAGACTCTGTCCTACAGGAGGGGTGGCAGCAGCAGCTGTGTCTGATGGGAGAGGAAGCGTTTGGGCCTCAGTGTGGGGAGCCTCAGTGATGAAGCACACAGACGGTCAAACCGGGGGAAATTTTGTTTCATACCGATTCTCATTTTGAGCCGTAATTGTTATCACATTTTGTCTCTTCACTAGACAGTATTCGTTTTTGAGGATAGACACTGAGTTCCCACTGCTTGGTATACCTGAAATTTAACATATGCCGTGGATGAATGAATGAATGACTTTTCACCGTATGGAACTGAGCTCGTTGCCCTCTTAGGAGCACTGTTTGTATAGAACTTTGAAAACAGATTGGGCCTGTGTATTTAGTCTTAGGTGAAAGCCTTTGGGAGGTCTACTGGATTGTCTATTGCAAACGTTAAAAATTGTCATACAACAGTGTGCGTTCATGTGTTCCTGATAGAAAATAATAATTTTATCGGAAATAATAATAATAATATTTTATTATCTGTTTCAGAGATACTTAACCTCACTGGTCTGGCAGCTTATCCAAGGAGACTTCTTTTTCTCCTGTTCGCTATGGAGTGCATATTAGGCCACTGGAGGGAGAAGAGTGGACAACGTGGTGAGTAGTTTCAAAGTGGTTCTAGATGATTTGAAATGATCTCCAAGGCCCCCTTTCTGTTTCATATGTCCCCGGCAGCTGTATCAAATTGATCCTATTTGACCATGAAACATGGAGTACTTGAAATCACCAGACTCTTCTATTCCTACCCAGGGGAAGAGAAAACAAAAAGGAAAAAGATTTCTCTTATTGGACTCGAAGTTTGGCCAGATTACAGATGTGATCAGGAGCTCAGGACTGGATGTACAGAGACATTGGTCAGCAAAATTGTCTATGATTGAATGGCTGGTTCCAATGTAATTCCATTAGCCTCATTTCTTTCTTTCTTTCTTTTTTTTTTTTTTGTAGAAACAATTAGAAAATTCAAATGCTGTATTCGTAAATTGCATTTGGGATTTAATGGTGGTATTCTCTCCCCAACTGGAATGCCTCTGTGAGTTGCCCTCTAATTCCCATTTAGTTTTCCTTTATGCTTGAGCCTAATTCACATGTGGCTCAGAATAAAAGCACTTTGTGCAATCTTTTAACTGTTAAATTTGCCATCCATAGAGGTCTTGGGGTCCTGACAGAATGCCACTCTTTTGACTGCTAATGTTAAAAAAGGAGCTCTCAGGAAATGTGGCAAAAGGGCTAACATTTGAATGTAGCTGTTCTTTTAAAATATATATTTCTATTTCAGTTACAGTCATCTTGCTATTGACTTAAGCTATTTATTTTTTGATCTTGAATGGAATCTCCCAGTGGTTATCTTGAAGCTAATAAACATATTTATTATGTGTGTTTGTATTAAAACAGCATTATTTTCTAAATTGTGTGAATTACATACAAAAACACAGGGAAATTTATTTACAAAGCACAAGATGCAGCAGATGCAGTTGGGGATTTGAATGTAGAATCATTTGCTCTTTATATGTGACGTACACATACATCAGTGCAAAGAATATGGCAGTTGGAATTAAATAGGGATTTCAAATTCTGACTTGGCTACTTATTCTGAGTTACCTTTGTTAAGTCATTCAATCAACACGAGACTCTTTTTCCATTTGAATTATATACTGACGACAATAAATACCTTCCTGGTTGTTGTCAGTGTTAGAGATAATGTATATACAGTACATTGCATAGGGCCTGACCTGTACGGAAACTTAATGACAGGTGATAACATGTAAACATGTTGGAAGTGGAGCTTCACGATTTCAGATAGGCTGAGAACACAGATCCACGTTGTTTATGATTGCTGATATTGTCAGAGCCCTTCTTCCAATCATACACCTTGATGAAAATTGTCAGCAACAGCCTTCTTACAAAAGCAATCACACCCTAGCAAGCCAGGGAAGTTCTCCTTAGATGATCCTCCATGTCTCAAAAGACGAGTAGCTGTGGCTCCTTGAGGTGCCGAACATGAATTCATACTGTTTTTTTTCTGAGAATTTGTGGTTTGGGCAACCAGAAATCTCTGCACACTTGCCCTGCCGGGGGAGAAAGCGGGGTGGCCATTCTCTGGGAGGGTAGGTTGGCTGAATCTCACCAAAGGCACGTCTTTCTTGGGAAGGAGCAGAGGACGTTTCCCCAATCCTTTTTGTCAACACAGTGGGAGTTATCTGAATTTCATTTGGGTATTACGTGCTGTGTGAGTTGGGTTTCTCTCTGTTAGAAGAGCTGCTGTTATTGGATTAAAACCACAGTTGTTGGGAAGCACTTAAGACTCCATGGGGGATTTCTCTAGCAAATAGCAGGGTCAGAGTTTTGTTTTTTTCTCTTTTCTAGTAACCCCACTCACCAGAGATTCCTGTTTTCGAGGTAACTATATCACATAGCTGAAGACCAAGGGGAGGCAGAATTTCTTTCTTATTACCAAGGTGCCAGACTAGTCAGCCCAGGAATTATCCACAGCTTGACTTGGCCCTTGGCTGTGGGATGGGACCACAGCCTATCTGGGGACACAGAATTCAACCGTAGGGGAGAATTTCATAAGCAACAACCTCCAGGTAAAGCCACACATTCTTACGTTGGGTAAAAAGGCCACCTTATGAATATTATTAACTCACTCCCTGATTCTCCTGTGGTTTACATTCACTGTAGATTTTATCTTTCAAGACAGCCCCTGGCATTTACCAGAGCGATGTTCTCCTTTAGGTAAAAGCTGGAGGCCAATGCCAGAACCACTGGTATGTGCAGGGTGATACCCGCCTGCCCACTGGGCCAAGAAACTGAAAGCCTGCGTTCCAGCCCCAAACCTCGTCTGCCAGCGCTCAGCCAACAAATCTACCCGGTAAGGAGAAGTGCATTCAAATGCCTTGAAAGTTTAGCATCTGCTTCTCTTTGGCTCCTGCTGCTTTAGAAAAACATTCGGAAGTTTCTGCTGGATTTGGATGAGACCGAGAAGGTGTATTTTCCCCATCTCCAGAAACCTGCACCCCACTTGGGGAGCTTCATTTACATGCACATCGGGTGCCATCTGACTGCCTCGGACTGTACCTTTGAACAGATCCGATGGGATCTCTACGTGCATGTAAATGAACCTCCCTTAGCCTGAGCCTCGCTCCAAAGAGGCAAAGAGCAGGCTTTTCTTGAAACTTGTTACCGCGACAATCTCAAACCAGACTCCACAATAAGGAATTTTTTTTTTTTCTTGCTTGTGTGTGTGCCAGGAGGATGCCACATAACTTGGTTTTCCAGACCGAGGTAATTTATTTAAACATGGATTATTTGAAAAAGGGGAAGGGATACAGGGCTTGATTTTAATCCCTGCTAACACAGAGAAAAGAATGCTCGTGTCACAACTCAGTGAGTGTAAAAATTAAAAAAGGCTGAGACTATTGTTTGAAAACAGGCAAAATAATTTAAATTATTATGGAATAATCACATATCACACAACAACCTCCCACTCTTACGAGCAACAATCCAAAACAGCTCCTCCAAAGCGGGCCCAAGGGCAGAGGTTCTGTATATCATTCAAAGACCATCTGTCGTGCAATTCCTGTAGCGCCTTTGCCCTATTCTGACGGCAGGCTGAAATTTAGTCCTGGCAGTTCTCTTTCCATTTGCTAACAAACCGCAGTGATGGCAGATAAATACAGCAAACAATAGGCGTTTGTAATGAACTGGAAAGGGATGGGGAGTTCTGCATCCAGCACCAGAATCAGAAGTTTTGGGTCCTGTGCTGGGCTCCTGAGACCCCCAGGGCTTGTTCTTGCCATGTGGCAGCTCAGACAGACATCTGCGGGCTGAGCGAGGTTTCCACGCGTTCAGCCAACCTGCTCAGGGCCTGATTTAAATAAAGTTCTTTTTTCTTAAAAAAATTAATAATCACAAGGACTCAAAGTTAGGGTTTGTTTTTGTTTTTTCCGTCATTGCTGCTGGTCCGGGAAAGTCAAACGTGGCACATGGTTCCCAAAGTTGACTTTTTCGTTTGCAGTCTGTATCTTTATTCGGAGGCCACATCACCGTCCGTAACTCCCCTCACTCATGTCTTCTTGTATCCTGTCTCATTCTGTGGTTTTACAGAGCTGGTTAGAGCATAATCTCGATCGTGATGCTCCATGCGGTGTTAATTTTCCTTGTTTCAGAAGTATCAATTTTGAGATTTGATTGTTTGATGTTGAATCAGGAAGGCAAGATATTGTTACATCAACCTTCAATAATTAACAGTTTTAAGTCCCAAGTTAGTAATACCTGAGAAACTCTGCACTAACGCTGTGGTTTTGAAGGTTCAGAGCAAGCTAGAATTCTGACCCAAACCCTCTTTTAAAATCATTCGTTGGTCACTTTTCTGTGAACCGTATCTATGTACACACAAGCTCATAGGCTCATATACCCAGCTCTCCATACCCTATTTCTACCCCATTTCCTCCCCCCTCCCAATCTCTCTGTTTGTCTGTCTGTCACACACACACACACACCCACACTCACACACAATTCATTAGGCAGAAGTTTCTGGAACAGTTCCCAGCAGGTTCAAGAATAGATCACATAATGAGTGGAGCAGTGTTATTTGCGATAGGCACAGAACTTTTAATAATTTAATTTCTAGTTGGAGTAATAAAAAGGTTGTTCCAGCTCATCTTGTAAAATTAGCACTTCATGCCACAGAGACCCTTGTCTGTATTGATAAGGAGCCCATGTGGACCTTGTGTAGCAAGGCCGCCCTAGACCTGTGAAGTGGACTCTGGGAGGGGTTGCATTTGTGTAGTCTGCGGTTCAGGCCACAGAGGAGCTGCAGTGGGTGGGTGTGGAGAAGTTCAGAGGCAAATCCCAGTCCTCCATGACTGAAATTACTAAAAGGCAAGGAGCTGATATGGGGAGCTCTTCCCACACTGCCCCTGACTTGGGTTCTCACTGACAATTCTGTCAGAATGGTGCGCTCAGCTCCCGTGCTGAAGCCCTAATGACACTCAGGTTGTAATTCATGCAGGTTTTTATTTCCACTACTACTTTGCAGCAAGCATAGTTTTAAACTCAAAACAACTGAGTGATTAAAAAAATAAATTCCACTTGGAAGCCTAGGACTTTAGAGTCGTAAGGGACTTTAGGGGACTATTTACTTTATAGATGAGGCAAACTGAAACCTAGGAAAGTTAACATGATTTTCCCAAAGTCCTTCAGTAGAGCAATAAGGACTCTATTTGGGGCTTTCCAATCCTAGGTCAGTGCTTTTTGTCACACCACACTGTCCCTTTAGGTCTTGGTAGCATAGGTCCCTGAATCATACCGTGCTTGGTGATTTAAACTGACGTACAAGTGGAATTTGTGGAATCACAGGATTGGAAGACCCCGACCTTTAGACCAATCCATGCCAGTATTACGACAGTATGGCGGACAATTGAGACATCTCTTCAGCCTTTGTGAACTGATTACCAGAGCCTTCCTTCGTGTGCAGTCCACTGTGTCATTTTAGTTGGTTCTGTATGTAACAGATCTGTTTACCTATCTGGCTTTTGGCAAATAACTATAATTCAGGTTACCTGACTTCTAGAACAGTGTTTTTTCCCCTTCCCACTCTGCCATTTTTTTCCCCCTACAGGGTGGGGAAGATCCCATTAGTTGGATACTTTCGCCACATGTGATTTCTTCCCTGCCCAGTGGTGTGCTGGTGGTGCCACTCTTGAGAGCCAATTTTTGTCAGGAATTTTGCAAGTTAGTTGTTAAATGGCTGACAGCTTTAAAAGGACCGCGGCAGATTATTTACACCACAGAAATTGGCAAACATTACAAGTCAGGGCAACCCCTCCCCAGAGAGCTGGTTGTTCAACAATTTACCAGCGCACTTTGGCTCCTGTCCTTCCTTTCCTATCTTTCCTAAGACCAATAGGTGAATTAAAAGATTTGCTATGTATAGCAAATCTGTACTAACCAAACAATAATATGACAGCACTATTGTTTTCATTATTGGTACTTGGAGCGGTGACTTAATTGGAGACGCATAGAAATACTTATTTCTAGATCTTTCTGGAACTGTCTCACGGCTCATATAGACAGTATTTCACAAGCCATATCCATGTACGCTGCCAGAAAGGAATTTGTTCAGACTACTGAATAAGTTCAACACATTTCCATTTAATGTCTGTGGATTCTTACCCTCTCCTTGTTTCAGATGAGGAAATGAAGGCCCTGGGTTATGCTAGCTCTTACTGGGCTTCCAGGGCAAGTGCAGGCTTTGTTTCTGCCAGGATAAGTCAAACTGGAACGCATGCTGAAGGCAGATGCTGCTAAAAACCATACAGGGAATCGAGCTACTCTGGTACTTCTTAGGTGGTAGAGTCAAAACAGCAAAGAGAGAGTTTCAAGCTCAATGCCAGGTCGACTCCTAAGTCACCAAACCTGGTTAATAAATTAGTCATTTTGTGAAAACCTATGTGTGCATCTCTGGATAGTATTCTTTCTGGTGAGGCTTCCTCTTCTGTCCTCCTGTTTGAACTCGAGTGACTACAGTGGGTTGTCTGAACACCACTTTTCCTTGAAAGCGATCAAGTGTGAAATTTCTTTCCCTGTCCAAAACAGTGCATATCCTAACTGCTGGCAATGTTTTGCACTGGAAAACATAGAATAGAGGAGAACTGAAATTTAGTTCTGGTCTGTTAGTGCTAGACCAGCCCTGTGGCACTGGGCAAATGGCCCAGTCACTTAGAGCCTCAGTACACTCATCCCTAAATGCGATTAAAACTACTGGATCTGTATGTATACATATGACAGCAGGCTGGTAATTTTCTAATGCAACCACTTGGGATCCCCTCTTCCCATCCTCCACATTTTCTTCATATAACTCATCTATTTTTACATCTCCCATACCTCTTTTAATATTCTAAATGAAGTCCTCTATCTTTATAGCTGTGATTCTTCAAGAGTGGTCTCCAGACCAGCAAGGCCAACATCACTTAGGAATTTGTTAGAAATGCAGTTCTCAGGCCTGACCCTGGATCGGCTGAATCAGAAACTCCTTACGTGGGGGCCTAGCAATCTGTGTTTTGACAAGCTTTCCAGGTGATTCTGGTAGACAGTGTCAGGCAGCCAGGTCGAGGGGTGGACATGAGGAGTGGCATGATATGTGTGGGGAGCAGCCATCTCAAAATCCCTCTGGCGGGCTTCCCTGGTGGTGCAGTGGTTGAGAGTCC